CAAACATATGTGTGAACTGAGTTATGTGGAACGGCTCGCGCTGTTTAGTGCTGTATTCGTTCGTTCGTTGACGAAATACGTGCTATATTTTATTTCCATACAATATTATTTATGTTTTAAATATTTTTTTCTAATTTTACATCTAGGAAATTTGGTAAANGCACAATCTCATGAAATAGAACTAAATATTAAAAAGTGCAATACAGTGAATCCGCAAAAAGCGAAATCCTATACATCCCGAAGGGCAGCCGCATACCACAGCCTGAGAAGGATGTATTTAGAGCAGACTGTCGTTTCTCCACTGCCGCGTCACATTTACCGGTTATTCTCGGCGGGTTAGCCTTCACAGACCATTAGCTGGGTCCCGAGAACGTTTAGACTGTGACAACAATTGAGTATCCAATTTTAACTGCCTGAAATAGATCATCACACGTGGTTTATTTTATTGTTTAATTTGTGTGGACCCTGTGTGTGTTCGTGTGTGGTGTGTATGACGCGCCACATTTGTGCACCCATCTTTTGTTCTTTTTTTCTCTCTCTCTCTCTGTTCCCTTGGATAGAATTGATCAGTTTATTGGTACCGACAGCAGGAATATGTAATGTAGATGATAGTGATGATGAAATTGCATTGACACGGCCTACACGTCCTCATCCTCAATATACTTGTCTCTGCGTTTTCATTGCCACTTGTTCTGCATTCTGTTTACTTTCACAGATCCACGTCATGCTGAAATCCAGTCACTCATGCATATGAGGTTTGATTTTGATTAGGACTTCACCATCATTCCTCAACCGGAGACCACGAAAAAAAGATTTTTTTTGTGTTCTCAAGACAATTCAGAATGAAACCGTGCTTGAATGGGACTGGCTGACTGGCTGGCGAATGGAATGCGTCGCATCAGTGCGAGGTATCCCCTTGCATTGAAATCGATCAGTTAACTGTTAACTCCCGAACTCAATCTAGGTTCCATTATTTCACCTCTTATTCGCCACTAATTTCCTTCCGATTGGTCGACTTATTCACGCGCATGCACAGAGAATCCCGCGCAAGCCCACCGTTCGTGACATGGGAAACTGTTTGTCCTTTATCCTTGAGTGATTGACCCCGACCAGTTAGAAAATCAACTTATCCCCCCCCCCTCACACACACTCCGGTGGCTACTGATTTGTGCATCCGTCAATCACAGTCGGGTGATTGATTGTACGCTGGATTCGGAGCACATAGCACTCAGTCTCGATTGGACCACTATCCACACAGATACATGCCCGTTTCGCGCATTGCCGATCACCTCGTGCAGATATCTCTCATTCTTTTTGCCTGTCTCTTTGGTGCCTTCCTCATCGTCTGTGCGTGTCTCTCTCTCTCTCTCTGTGTGTGTGTGGTTCGGGTGGGACTATCATAACTGTATTTCACTCAGGAATGTAACATTTTCACATACCTCCATTGAGTGCTTTTCTTCTTCGATATTTCGAAATGTATCTCCTCAGCTTCCTTGAACTTCTCACTTCCGACGAGTCACTTCATGCCGACAGTTGAAAGAGTGATTTCAAGAGCAATTGCCCTGACCGGTATTGATTTTCGGTACCGCTGCGACGGTAACCAATCCCTATGTATTAATACGAATATTATTATCGTCATTGTTATCGCTATGGTTGCTCCTCTGGTTGTTCCTTTCAGCGTTGTTCTTCATCAAACTGCACATCGACAAATGCATTTGCTCGTCGCTCCATACGCGTGCATGTGCTCGTGGTGGTGTACGCATTCATTGATGATCTGTGGTGCGGATATGTGCGATTTTCGAATGTATTATTGTTGATTGTTACGGCACATCTATGTATTTCCTTTGGGTGCGATTTTTTAATTCGATCCTCTTCCTCTCGCTCTCTCCCTCCGTTCCTCGTTCTTCATCACCTAGCGCCACAATTCTACCACTCATTCCGCTATCCGACAATGTTTGTTCATATGCAAATACCTTGTTACTCACTTACTATCCCGGTCTCACATTGTCGGACCACGGGCATTGACGGTACACTGTTAGACTAGACTGTTTTGTTGTTGTTGTTGTTCTTCTCCTAACTCAAGTGTTTCGGTTCGCGATTCCCGGTCGGTATGAAACTGTGTGTATGTGTGTGTGTGTATGTTTGATGCGCATTTTATTATCTCAGACCGGGGTCCGCACTCGATTGAGTTTCAGTGTGTCGTCACAGTGATGCCACGAATAGTATTTGTTACTTCAAACGGTATTGTTGTGATCACCAGCTCCTCCAGGTGTTCTGAACGAATTCGCATTGTAGTGATTGTCCCCTAGGTGGAATTGGATCTATACTTTGGATAACAGCGGCTCAGATGGGGACTGGCTCGGCTCCGAAGATAGTTTGGATGAAACGATCAAAACTAGCAGATGTGACCCAGCCTTTGAAGTGTCACTACAAGAGCACCAATGGATACGGTTGTGAGTCATCTCGTTTAGGACCATACCTCGTTCATGTCAATTGTCCTTCAGGTATAGCAATCAAGAATTGATTGGTGTGCAGGAAGCTTTGGTCTTCAAACGGACAGCAATATATGGAAGGAAAAGGAGTGCAGCTCAGAATAGATCGACTGTCCTCGTAATGGTTAGAAACAGCACAGTCTTGGCAACCAATCATTCAGCGTAATGATCAGCGTACTAAGTTGATCATTCGAACCGGTGCACAGTCGATGAGTTTAAGATCAAATCAGAATGAAGGATTTTTGGATAGAACTCGATCCCCCCCTCCCCGCGAACTTGCCAATAGTCAGCAATAGTGCGCTAATTTCCTGGGTGCTATTGAGCTGTCTCATCAGTGAAATCGGGGGCTGGGTTGTTTGGCTGTGACAAAATGTCGATGGTGGAATGCATCGCAAATCTGGAATCCGTTTCGCGGCAGAGGTCAGTGGATGCGCACCTAGTATGGTCTGCCGAGATACGCACGCGTTTCTCCGATCAAAGCTCTATTACCCGGTTCACGGTAAGCAGTGCGCAAGCGAGAAATGTTTATCTATGTGCCATAGAAGTTAACCTCCCTCCCCCCCCCAAAAAAAAACAGTTATTTCCTTATCGTCGGTTGTGGGAAGCACTCTACACTAGGGTCGAATACGAAACATTCCAATTGGTATTGTGTAACAGGAAAAAAACTGAGCGAATTAGTGCGGTCCAGTTCTTGAATAATGCTGCACATTTGCGTTGTGAATTCCAATTGCTTTTCTCCCTCTCGCAACCGTTTGTTTTACCGCATGGAAACCAAAATTTGTTGCTTCAGTATATTTTCTCCAGTTTAAGTAGATAGGTCGGATTGACTCCTGTTTGATTGATCCATTCTGCTTATTGCACATATTATCCAGTCCTTTAGCGGATGAGTCATTTTGTGATTAACGTATCACATTTCGTTAGTCCCGGTTTGAGTAGATACAGTTTCCAAAAATTGGTTTTACCCTGGCCATATGTTCCGTCCAGCTCGAGTAGTTTTCTTGAAAAAAAACCGGTTCTGGCTAGTTATTTCACGCCCTTATCACCGTGGGCTGTTCCCTGATCTGGTCAAATACCAACAAACGCATCTACTTGTATGAATCAGTTTCAGTTTGTACAATCATTAACCACGCATATATATGAATAGTTCGTACCAAAGTCGGTTTTGAACTTCAAGGGTTCTCGTTTTGGTTGAGACAAACATTGTCCAAAACCTATTGAACAGTACTCAAATCATTATTGGCAGAGACTTTTCCTATTTGTTCCTTCACGACCAATCGCCTGATAGAAGCGAATCTACGTGGAATCTGGTCCAAACTATAGAAAGTGAATACGTATGCGAGGTGAGAATATGGACAGGCATCTTCGTATGTTCACAGCACACAACTAAATTTTTGCAGAAAAATTCCAATGAGTTGATTACTGATTGGTCCACGTCAAGTTTTGACCGCCGTGGGAAGTACGTTGGTAGAAGAAATGTGCAGGTCGTTCATTCTGGAGCACAAGGTGTAACTATTGGCTTGACCTTATCGAGTGGTCAGGCTTGCCGACTAACTAACGACTCAATTCAGTGCGTCCTCACGTGAACGATGCCTAAATTTTTGTTTCGCTCCAATAATTGTTTTACTGGGTTGCGATCGTTTCCAGTGGATTCGCGTAATATAAGGGGAAGCTGATTAATTGGAGGCGAAATGATTTATGCTTATTGGTGACGCAAATGATGATTCAATGGCAGTTAATTAATTGATCAATTAATTCTTTGACCGTAGGTTGGATCTGAAAGTTCGTTTTTGATGCTGGCTCTACGATTGAAAAATAACTGACACCGAGTCTTCAAATATTTAAGTGATTGACTTGAACAGAATCTTCCTGTGTATGAATCATTGTGATGATTCTGCATTGATTTTGTGGTTTTGGTGCGACTAACGTCAAGAACTGCGATTTAGGTGCCAACTTCTGATTGCTGTACAACGAGTAGTATCTAAGTATATGAATGAAATTTATCTCTAAGCGTGGGTCGAAAATTGACAATTCTAGAACAGCTTGTGTGATTAAAATTGAAGGCTCCTCACTTCTTCAGATTGCCGTAAAAAATGTTTTTTTCTCGCTTTGAAAGAAAACAGATTTGAGCTCCTTGGTAAGAGGATCGTTAAATTCGACCGAGGACCCGCAAAGCAGTGAAGAAGGATTCAATGGAGAGAAGGCGTTGTATTAAATGCGTCTTTAATAGAAGTCACTTTCAAACGGCCAACTCGAATGAGTTTCCCGACATTACGAAATTTCCAGGGGACAAGAAGAAACCAATAAGATCACGGTGACTGGTGGCTCCGAGGTATTTGACAGAGCATTTTCCGGAAACTTGTTCTCCTTTGATAATGATATTGTCCAAAGGTCTTCACACACCATCTTGTCAAATGCCTGACAAATAATGGGACGTGTGTAAATTTTAAGAGCTTTATACAATTACTATCCGAGGTAAAGGATATAATGATTGGCGGCCCCCAGCGCATCGTGGGTTAACTTGGAGCTACGATAGGCAAATGGAGTAGAACCAGTTGCGTCTAGCTGGAAGGGCAACCTCTGCAATAAAACATTTTCAACTTCAAATAAAACCGCTTTAACCTCAAGTGAAACCAACCGTTCGTATTCAACTGGGAACCCCACTAATTGAAGGGTGCTTTAGTCGTCATTCGTCGTCGATGGGACCGATTTTAAAAAAATCCCGTCCAGTCGGAATAAACTGATTTCCCATAAACAAACAGAGGTATTTTTTGAGCCAGTTTGAATTTTTCGGTGGGATGGGAGTTGACCGTTCGTCCCTCAACCCCGGGAACATGTCCTTGGCCGTTGATCGAGTGATGAGGATACATACATATTTGTATATATTTTACACTGGCTTGTAAACAAGCATGGTGCCAACGACAACAATAATAACGATAACATGGAGCACTTGGGTGAAAATACGGAGCAAAGTGGGAAGAAGATGGAACAGTTAAAATAGAAAAAACGCAGGTAACTGGGATAACAGGATTATTTTGTGTTGTACCGTACACCTTTTGATAATTTTTTGTGTTGCTTGTTGTTCCTTTGTTACGGAGCAGAGGATTTCGACAGACCGTACCGCATTCGCTCCACTGACTTCTATTTTGGGCCATATCTCCCAGCGTCTCTAACCAAAGACAATCCTCTTCCTTTTGACCCCAACCTGGAAGGCGGGCTGCACCAACCGAAGCCAAACCTGAAGCCAGCTTCTTCATGCCTCTACGCCATGTCATGGTCTGACCGCCGCGCCGCTTCTTCCAGCCTTGCCCGGCACGTGCAAAGAGCACGGAAAGGTGGTCGATGGGCAGGCATACGCA